TGAATGGCTTTGGTTTACCAGGAGATGGAAAACAGTTCATCTTGGCAATTGGCCCTGACACTCCTGCCGAGCAGAGTCCACGTTTTTTTGTTGTTCTTGGGTTTGGCTTTTTTTTCTAATAGGATGCCCATAAGAGAGAAATGTTCCAGTGATGAGCAGGGGCTCAGCCTGGTTTGATTTGTGCCATTCATCAAGGGGAGGCAAAGCCAAATTTATCTTGTATACAACAAACAACTGCTGTCAGACCTCAGATAAAATGTCTGAATTGAAGTTGATTGCTGGGACTAATTTTCTGAGAGAGAAAGTGATTTTCTTTCCTCGAACATACTTTGTGTCCTCACACTTTCAAAGCTAGCAGGCAAGCTAAACTTGTTTTGTACTGATGATGTCTACATTGTATAGTTTTTTCATCCTGGGTTGAGATCTTGGTGCTGTTTCAAAGAGGTAATACTGGTGTTTCAAATTATGAAACATAAACATGAGAGTATTAAAGCAGTCATCTCTGTGGCCAGAGGTCAAGATAACCTAACTTCAAGAAATGACATCTGAAAACTGCCTTTTACATCGGTGGCATAATTTTACCCTTCTGTAATATGTGATACATCAGATAAATGTTAATGCTCATAACGTCAGATTTACGATGATGATAAACCCCTTTACACTGGACCCAGGGGTAATTTGTCACATTTAACAATGCCTATAAACTATGACTCTTGCCTCGTGAGGTGTTTATGGTATATGCTAAATAAGGAGGGGATATTATGAAAAAATACAGTAAGTAGCTATATAATTAATGATTTTTAATAAAATGAGTTTGCAGAAAAGGAAGGAACTAAAACTGCAACTGTAAAAGTGCTTCTATTGAGTTTTTAAGTGTATAGTTTGTGTTTTTCTTTTTAAGTCTTCGTCCAAGTTTTCCAATAGGGAGATGGGAATTGAAAAAAAAAAAAAAAAATTACTAAAAGAACCCGTCACACTTCTCAGCCATTATGTGTTGATATTGTAGAGAGAATGAGATGGGAGAGGGAAGGAAACCTGAATTTTGTTGAGATAAAAGTTAGTAAAATTCTTTAACAATATGAAAAGACAGGACTACTGGCCTCATGGTTATTGTTTCCTAAGAATGCTAAGGTAGTCATATCTCCGTGTTTTTCTTCCCTCTCTCCCCGTCCTCTGGTGAGATGATGTGCTGAGTCTGTCACGGTAGGGATTGCTGCTTTTGTAGCAATGTATAGGTGTGTCTCTTCAGATGTTTTGGCAATTAATTTGGCTGGATACTGGCCTTTGATTCAGGAGAATAACTGACAGAAGTGAAGGGATTATTTTCAAAAGTTAGGAATAGAAAGGAATATATACCCCTCTAGCCAGCAAGTAAGGGGTTTTTTCCTTGCAGGTTCCAAAGGCACACTGGCAAAGTAGCTATGACACTGCAGCTTCTTCTGTGTGCTTTTATATCAGTGGGAGATCTTTAGGCAACCTAAATATGGGGTTACTGTCAATATTCATATAGTGAATTCAGCTTCCATTAAGCCTGGTCTCACATATTGAAAATAAAATCAGAACTCAAAACAAAATATGTGAATGTCATGTCAGTATAAGAGGAAAGGAAAAAAAAATGCCCAGGGACTGACTGACAGATCTATTTAGGAATGAGGCAGAAAGCTTTTTATTTTCAGTATGGAAATTCTGTGAAGAATATGTTAACAAAACTGACAAGCTGTCATTGAGAGTTCTCACTTTTTTGGAGGACGCTGATAGCCACTGTACTCAGGTGTGGTACTGTTTCTTGAGTGTGGGTACCAGGACTGTAAGAATTGACTGCATGGGAAGTGACAACAGGATTCCTGCACATGTGGCAACCACTGACAGCAGTTTTCTGCACCTGAATTTAGGGATGCAGTGAAGTTACTGGTGCAAATGAGTTAAAAGGTTTAGTAAATTAAGAATTAGATACTACAGTAACTGGGCTTAATGATGGGATTACTCCAGCTAACAATTTGTACTATAAGCTTTCCAAGTTGTTCAAATACATTAAAATACCTATTTAGTTTGAATATAATGGTATCCTTTCTCTAAGTCTAAAAGGCCATGTCTAATTAAAATCATTATTCTGCATAATTTTTAAAGAGGCTGTTAAAGCGTGTTTACAGATACTTCATTCATTCCTTAAACTTTTATTGGTTTTTAAACTTGAAATGTCCAAGACCTCTTCCATTCAAGTACTTCATAACAAATAAAATGTTTGAAATAAAAACTGTAAATTTCTAGTTAGTTTACCTTATTTATTGTTGTTCTTTGAAGGATGCTCAATAGGAAAATAAGAAGCATCCTCTTGAATCCTTATCTAAGACTTAGAAGTCAGAACTTCTGTCCTGACTCAACAAGGATTTGTAACCTAAAAATCTCATTGATTAATTGGTCTGATTTGGAATAACCCCTTTCTAGCAAACGTACAGAATATGTACCTGATCAGACTCTTCATTTTGAAACATTTAATTCAGAATCCCAAACAAATCAGGCTCTATTATGCTTCACATGTTTTTACTGGCATACTTCACATTCTGCTATAGAAAATGATCACTATTAATTAGGATGCAAAGCTATATTTGACAGTGACGTGATTTGCTAAGTAACGTAAACACTCAAATTGTAAGCAAGAAGTTGTCATCTACCTCTGACAATCTCCTACTTATTATGCTCTTGATAATTGTAACCTTTAATGCTTGCTCTCATTTCTAAAAACATTAAGTGCAGATTAAATCATGACTGTTTTACCTACATTCTGGTAACCCCGGGGTTTTTTTTGTTGCTAGTAGACTGGATAATGAGACAGTATTGGTAAATCCTGTTAAACCTAGCTAAATTTCCAAAATGGAGCCCATCTCCTAACTTTAAATATTTTCATTAAGTTTTTTTTTGAACTATATTCTTTTGCGAGGCTACTTTGGCACAAAATGTGGAAATTGCGACAACCATCTAATACGACGTGTGTCCTTTTGAGGTGGTAGGCATTCAGTTCTTTGCATTCTGGGTTACTGCAGGGCCTTCTCAAAACAGCACGTGTAAAAGTTACTTGCGAGCTGTTAATGTATTAATAGAAGTATTTCCTAGTAGCTTATGCTTGGTAAAAGGAAGATAAATGAGTAAAAACGGAAGGATTACAACTCATTCTTACTTTGGTTCTGAATTATGGGTAGAGTCTGTTACCTAAACCAACGATCGCCAGGCTGTAGGGGGACTGAAGAATAATGAAGCTAGTTAGTCAAAACGAAGTGATGCCTTGACTTCCTGGGCTAATGAAGTGCAGTTCCCTAATGAAGCTGTGCCTTCGGCACATCTGTTTGGCCATCGCCCCGAGAGGTGATGCCGATCTTTTATGTGAAACCAATCACATCTACTGTGTGATCACTGTATGATATAGCTCTTTACGGGTGCACCCCTCGTGAGCAATAGATGAGCTGGGTGTGCTTCATCTCTTTGGCTTCTATTTGGTTTATCTTTGTTCATCCTGTATCTGCTACCCAGTTCCCTTTGTGCAGAAGCAGTTGTCTTGTTCTGTATTTCTACAGTGATTAGTACAACAAGGGGCTGCTCTGTGATGAGCTACAACATAATTTTCAAATAAAGAACAAAAACTAATCAACTTTGAGACTTATGAGAACAATGTTTGTTCTCCCTCCCCCCACCCATCCCTTTGCAAATCACATTTTGTGAGGCAGAATCTGGCTTGTCGCATTCAAAGTAACATCCCAGCTCCTTTTTGTTGCGTCATAGAACTGTAGGTGCCCGTGTCAAACAGATGGAAAAGATGTATTGTTTTTGCAGTGCTGTATGTTGGTGCATGTTAGATAGCAACAGTGAAACGTGTGAAATGATGTCATATCTTCTTCTTATTTTGGAATTGTGCAAAGGAGGTTTCAAATGGAATTGTAGTTTCTTTGCATTCGCTTTAATAAGAAAAGTTTTTTCAAGAACAATTCCAAGCTTCTGATTTTGGAAATAAAGCTTCCACTGTTTCAGTGGGATGTGGGCCTAAATTTGAATGGATGTCTTGGATGGAATTACCCTTTTTTCTCTAATGCCAGCTTGTTCTTGTGCATAATACTCAAGAAAGCTATTGCTATTCAGTAATAAATATACATTCCTGAAATATGATGGGCTAAGTTTCTGTAGGTGTGTTTGCAGTTTGTTAGCACAGGAGAAGTTGTTTTTGGTGTTTTTTTCATTTCTTTTTAGTGTAAGCATGTTATGTCTAGCACTTGAAGATCTGCTTATTGAATACTTATGTTTCTGAACAGTTTTGAAAGATGTCCACACTACAAAGAAATCTTTAGCCTTGACTGTCAATTATGGGATAATATGAGTGAAGAGTGCAGAAAGAATTACCAGACTATTGATAATGCATTTCATCAAGGTTTATTATTTTCCCTGAACATGAGAAGAAATACGTTTAAAACTCCTACATGAAAAAGCATATTGAGTTGGCAAAATGTTATCAGGTAGCTAACCTTCTAAAGTTTTTGATTACTTGGAGTTTTAAATTATGAAATTTAGCAAAAAGACCCCATGAATTTGATCATCAAGGTCAAGTGATGAGATCTTGGCCCTGTTATGCAGTTGTTAATGATTTACTGAAAATGATATTGAGCTAGGCAGTTGACACCAGGTAGGGATTAGAGGGTTTTTTTCTTTCCTTTTTTACCTCAGCACATCCAATCTAAATTGCTTTCAGTTGCTGGAGTGTTTTGGAAGGTTTCTATGTGCAGTCCTGTTCCTGTGAAAGCAGGTTTTAATGCGAAGTCATAACCTTTTAGAATTCTGTAGGAGAGGATATGGTGCCATGATGCATCTATCTCATCTTCTTATCTGTGTCTTTGCTGGTGACTTGAAGGTGTTATCTACGTATAAAATAAAACTAGTATGATCAAATATTTAAAGTGTCTCTTAATATTTCAGTAACTCTCGGTAATAAACTCTATTATTTTTTTCCGCCCTCTCAGAACAAAAGCCTCAAAAACAAGCTCCTGTCGGGAAACAAGCTTTGTGGTATTCATGCAGAAGAGGTAAGTAAGGTTTCTCTCTATTCTAAATCTAACATACCCAAAAGAAGTTTGCGTCGAAGTCTTTTCTACTGAGGTTCTGGTATAGGTTATATATGATGCATGTATGGTGAGTGTTCCTAAAGCACTCTCATCTCAACTTATTTCTGTGACTTCACTAGAAGCAACTCAAATATATTAGAAAGCAAGCTGCAAACTCAAATTTCAGACAAATAAAATAAAGTTTGGGCATGCTTATGAAAAGTATATCTAGCTGTGTAGACGTATATTGTACATCTATAACATATATAAAACTGATTTCCTTTCCCTGATCTCCATGCCTCGAGTAAGACAGGAGTAGCTAAATACCTTTTTAAAAGTAATTTCTAGAGACAGGAAAGATTTATTATTATTGATTCCTAGAATGTTTCATTACTTCAAGGAAAAGAGGGTCACTTTATAAAATGCAGAGAAAGAAATCTCCCCTCTACTGAAGAGCAAGCTAGCAAAGATAGTTGATCACAGAATCATAGAATCGTTTAGGTTGGATGATACAAAAGTCCTGTTGTTTTGCAAATATGTAAATATACAAGTAACTGCATTCATGCAAGCAGTCCCTTTAGCTATTTAACTTTTCATTAAAGAGAATATAATTATATATGAATCTGATTTACTCATTTACATGACTTTAGTCATGGTTTTTGCATATATAACTTCTGTGAAAGTGATTGCACCTTGCCAGAATGAAACAGAAGCGTAGCACTTTTCTTCTTGACTAAAATTTTCATAATTATGGTTGAATGTGTTTTCTTCATTAAAGGCGACTTTTTAACTTAGAGGTCAAAAGTGATAAGGTCAAAGTAATGATTTCTAGTTATATTAGCTATTTAGCCTAACTGAAGATCTGCAACCACTGTTTCTGAGAAATCCTCAGTGGTAGGAAATAATAGGGGTTTGGGTGTTTTTCGCTAGCTAGTCAAAATCTGTATTATCTTCCTATATCACCATTGTTGCTTTCAAACCTGCCACAGTATATGAATACAAATTTATTTTTTTTCCCTTGTTGACTGCTAAAAAATTGGCAGTGAGTGCAACATAGCTTTCTGTTTTCCCCTCTTTTTCAAGTTTGTTTTTCCTAGCCACATAACATCTTGAATGTTTGGTAATTAACTTGAAGATCTTTTCCCTGATTATGTCTCCTTTAATATTTGCAACATAAATGTCTTTAAATCTAAGGGTGAAGCCTAAGATTAAATTAAATTTAGTGTAGTGTGACAAGGCTTGCTGTCAGAGAATTTCAGAAAACCAAACATAAGCTAGGTAACTCTCAAGGCAGCAGATTGCGAGTGTATTTTAAACCTTAAGAATCTCAGACTTTATGAATCATCCTGGCAAATTCGTGGCTTTTAAGTGGGTTAGTGCCATTAGAACAAGCAAAGATGCTTACAGGAGCATCCTTTTTTTGTTGTTGTTTTGCCAGTTAGCTGGTGTGAGGCAGAGAGACACAGTGTATTTTCTCCTCTTTAATTAAGTACTATGCTCACCAAGCATAATAACTGTGTGAAATCAGCATCCTTTTAGTTATTGGATCAAATACCCTTTGTGGATAGAATTCCCTACCAGGAAGCTCCTGCTTCGTTCTGTTCTCTCAGGCTGCATGCAAAGAGTTTTGGTGAGCCCTGTTGCTCAGTTGCGTAGACAGGAGCATGCTTGTGATCCTATATGGTTTATATGGCTGACTTTTCTTCTCCAGGAATTCAGAGCCCCAGAGAGAGGGAGGCAGCATGATGCAAACCTCGGGCTCCCCAGGGAACAAAAAGGGGCATGTGCCAGGGAAATATTCCCAGATGCTGTGGTTTAGAGATTGTTATCAGCCTGTATCTAACGATGACCTTATCTGGCTGACTGCATGAAAAGGTTTTGTATATCCTCTCCCTAGAAGTGCAGAAAAACCACAAAACAACCAAATTTTATCACAAAGAATTACACGTCATATACGTACTTTTGCGTCACTTATATTACACAGTGAATACACGTAGCTCCGTAACTCCTAATTTCATCACAGGTTTGTGATTTAGCAAATGAGTGATACCTTAATTGTAACTCTTAGATTCCTCTATAGCCATTTTGGGTACCTTGTATGTCACAGAGACACGTATACTTTCTTAAGCAGAACTCCTAGAATAGTCAAAGTTGGTTAAGGTTTTCTCATTGGTCTTTAGTTGAAGTGGAATATATTCCATAGCTCTACCAATTGCATTGTCCAGATGAGAGGACAGAGCTATTGCCTGTAGGCAATTGGCACATTCTGCTGTCTAGATGAAATAACAGCAGATATAGTTAAAGAAGAAAGAAGTGAACTGAACTGATGTTGGCTATTTGTTTCTGATTTTACAGAATACAGTAACCAATTTGGCCTTACTTCTTAAATATTTAAAGCAAGGTCTAAAATTTTACCTTTAGATTCATTCATCCTTCCCAAAAGTCTGTCACTGAATTTGACTGCACCAATTGGAAAGACATCAAATCTTTCTAAAAGCTCCAATTTACGAAAGATATACTACCATCTGTAATATGTTATGTTTATGGATGTGCTGTTTCAGTAAATGTGTAACAGACTTCTAATCCATTCCAAGGAGTTCTAAATATTTGGTATTAACTAATGCGAGAAAACTTATTGAATATCAGTTGAGATTGTGGGTATTATTAAATAGAAATTATTATTTTGACAGAATTCTTAGATAAGGGATGAAATAGTTGGGTGTAGTATAAAACACCCCATTTCTATTATATTTTGTTTAGATAAATAAAAGAATGTATAGACCATTACCTAAAATTATTGTAAGGATGAATTTAACAATATTTAAAGTAAATATCAGCCTAAGCTGATATAAATCAACATAACTATGCCTATTTTAGAGGACATGGTCACAAACTGAGAACCTAGTTTATTTGGATACTATCTGGATCTCCCTGGTCATTACAAAGAATAACCTATGCAACACTATGGAAAATTTTTCCCTCTAAGAAAAAGAAGATTCTTTACTATGGAGGTGATGCCTTCAGTTGTGCTTCATGGAAAGTATTAATAGCATCTTATGTCTAAAATGTGTAAGCCAAACAGCTATTCACAATAGTACTAACACATGTATGTGCTTTAGGTGAGTGCCAATCTACATTTCCCTTGATACTTTTGCCTGGTTTAGACATGCTAACCTGGAAAAGCAATTAACTTTGATTTTGGTTATTTTTCTGCATTGTAAAGCTGATCTAGTTTCTGCTGTTGTCAGAACTTGCTACCTTTTTTTCTCTGATCTTAAAAGTAAATATTTAAAATAAAAAAAAACACACCCTGATTTTATTATCCTTACTTTCAGTCAAAAAAGATCCAAGCCCAGCTGAAAGAGCTTCGTTATGGGAAAAAGGATTTGATTTTTAAGGTAAGTCTTATTTCACTATAGTTAGATAAAGTATTAGAATTAATATAGTATTGAAGTAATGTGGGAAAATGATAGCTGCCTTTATTACTGTAGTTCTAGGGAATTATTTCCTTCTCACCATACCGAAAAAACTCAAAACACCAAAGACAGACATAATACCATAATGTAATTTCAGAAATATCATCTATTTTCGTTGCTTTTGTTTTTTGCAAAACACTCTAACAGGGACAGTGCTTTTTATTAAATTGCTTTCTGAGCCAAGGAGGAGAAGATTCAAAGCCTAGGAAGTTGTCTGGTGTCTTTGATTTTAAATATACAAAAGCAGTGGAATTTATTCAGTTTATGAATATCTGTATTTACACACTTACATAAAGCAATGTTCTAGTTTCCTGCTGGTGGCCAAAACCTGTTGCCCTATTCCATAGATGCTGTAACATGTTTTTCATCTTTCTAACTGAACAACAGAATGTTTTACAGGTCGTTCTTGTTTTTTCTTTGATTAGCAGTCCTCCATGGCAATTTCAATTATTGTTAACACTTAAAGCAAATCTTTGTGTTTGTGACAAGCTTGAACAATCCTTAGGTTCCTGTAGCCAAATTCCTGTTATAGGCTGAAACATCTTTACCAAAACTGAAGCTTCTAGAAAAAAGATGAAATGTCTGTGCCTTATACAATTGAAATGAACAGCCTGTCTAGCTAGTGTATTTTAAAAAAAAAAAAAAAAGAAGGGAGGGAGGACAAAACATACAGACATTTTGCTGAAGGGCATCAAGTCCTTGTTAACACAGGGAGAAGTTAATCCCCATTAAAGAAGGAGAAGAGAGATTCAGGTCACCTGACTGGAGGCTGCTAATTGAGTAGTGCTTTTATTCCCTGCATAAAGGATGAAGATAAGTAGTCATCTTCAAAGTGACTAGAGCTAGAATTACTTAAAAGTAATTCACCTCGATATGAGGTCCAAATTGCCTTCTGGAGTATTTAACTCTCTCTACTGTCTTTCTGTTGCACACATAGTACTGTAAAGATGGAATAACGTAGGCCATTTAAAATATGCAGCGTGATTTGTGTGATTTTTGGTTTTTTCCTCCCTTTTTTTTTCATGTGCAAGTTGATTTCAGGGTTTTTCAGGAACACTTATTTCTGGTCATCATAAGACCCAAACTAGGGGAGCAGGTTTAGAGATAAGACCTAGGCATATTATACATCTAGGCAGTTAAATTTTAATACCAACTAGCATTAACAAAAATAACACTTTTTTTTCTTCAGTTTAGCTATAATTGAGAGTTTGAACAGAGGAAAAGATTATAGCTTCTAAACTTGCCTGGGTGTGAAAGCTTGTTTTCATTGGCTGAGGCAGAAGGACTGTTCAGTACTACTATCTGCTTGTTGTGTTCGTTATGCTAATATGCAGTGATCCTGAAAATGTATCTGAATTATCAGGTCATGTAGTAATGCTTATGAAGGGAACACTCCTACCCTAAGCTGCCGACCTGAAAACGGCTTACAGAAGTGGAGAAGGAAAACACGAGCATGAAGAAGTGAACAAATGGGAAAGACTGCCTGGCAAGTCACTGGCATACATAAAATGAAATCTGCCTTCCCTTGATCCTGGTTCAGTAAACTATTTAGAAGGCTTTTCCTCAGGAATGACAGTTTAGTGGTTAGGGTATAGATGTAAAGATCAGGGTTTTGTGGTGGAGGGGAGGGAGTTTACTTGTGTTGCAATGGACGCAATGTGTCTACGGTGAATGGGAATAGAAGTGGGTCTCATCTGACTGGATATGGATGTCTGCACTGTGGACTGCATTTCTAATTCTTGGAGGGTTATTCAGTACTGCTGCAGGAGTCTGGGAAATACATCTTCTCCTTAAAGCCAATGTCTACATTTGACCACATGAATTATGCCTTAAAATCCTTGACCTACACTGAATAGACATAGTTCTTGATCATGAAGGAATACTAGGGCCACCAGCTCAGATGTAGGTCCCAGGTTACGTAGGGTGAGTTCTGCTCTGAATGCACTTGCAAAATAGTGAAAATGTTGCTGGCCTTTTAGGGAAATTATGAACTAATGTAATTAAAAATGCTTTGAGAACTTTAGATAGACAATGTTAATGAACTGTGAAATGGATTCCAAAGCCCATGTACTGGGAATTACACGTGCAAATAGCTGAAATATCTCTTGCCCCTATGCAGTTCTGTATGTGATTGCCTGATTTTCTAATTTGATATATCCTTTATGTGTAGGCAGAAATATTTTTGTCAGGTTTATTTGTCGATCTTTTTCCTGACTAAAGGGAATTTGATTTATGAAGAAAATGGAACAGCAAACGTGGTTCAGTGTGCTGTTTTGTGTGTGTTTCAGGTCCAAATACAGACATACTGAATAGAGTAGAAGCCATTTGGTAGAGGGCTGAAAGCTTTTTAAATATCTGTCTGATCAGAGAAAGGCTGCTAGGTTTGGGCAAGAACAGGTGGTATTTCATTTCTAGTTGCTTTGAGACTAGAAACTAAACAGATTTCATGTTATCATTACTGTTGAGGCCGTTTTGTGAAGCTCTGATTCTTTCTGATAAAAGATCAAAATGGTGGGTGAATAGTCTTCTGCCAGCACAGAGCACGAATGGTGCGTGTGAGATAATCTCCTGGCTGCTAGTTACCATCATGTTATGTGACTTCTGCCCTTTCCCCCTTCTGCCACGTTCCCACCCCATTAAACCTCACGTTTTCTGTGTGCCTTGCTGAGGACTTTAGGGAATTCTGTTCTCTGTATAGCTCTGAACATTGCAAGCTTCTCATAGCAGTTCACTAGAAGGATGTAAACTTGAGGCTACTAGATTTCTAAAGGGCATGAGGGACTGCTTCTGTTCATGCCCATTAAACTATTGCTTTCTGTGGTGGAATTAATGAGGATATATGTGAAGTAAGTCGGGGGGTTTTTTTGTTTGCTTTTGTTTTGCATAATCAACATCGAGAAACTAGTTCTTAAATTCTGGTAACTATTGTCAATGATTCTGTACCGACTGAGCTGTGGGGATTAAGTGGGAGAAGAAGATGACAGGGGGAAAAAGACGGCTTTCTCCTTTAAGACACCAGTGAATTGGTAAATTATATTTACTTTTAACAATATGTGACAGTAACTTAACAAGTGGTAGTAAATAAAACATGAGTTCATCACATTTGGCATGTATTTACTCTCCTTATGTTTTCGGTGTTTTGTAATCTAGCTGATTAATTATGTAGCATGTGTGTATGTATATCTATATTTTTTTCTCTGTCTCTGTATGTGATATAATGCCATACGATCGAGAAGCAGTGAGAGTCACAGAAATTAAGTGATGCACTCCAGGCTACAGAGGTTGTCAGTGTCTCTACTGAGATTAGAATATGAGCTCCTGTCTCTTTGTCGAAGTTCAGTCCCTTAAACCATGCAGCGTAGTATCCTTAAAGAGTTGACAAAAGATGAAATTTGTTTTGTATTATAATGAGAAAAATAAGGAATGATTAATAAAAATTTTCACTCAAGCTTCTTAATTTTATAGCTGCCTTTTTAAGTAGGTACTTACTAGTTCTGAATGAGTCCACTCTTAATTACAATAATTTAATTATGGTTCTAAAACCCTGATTCAGTGAAGTACTCTTAAGTTTAAATGCTTTGCTATATCGGCATCTACATTTGTTTCGGGCATTCATAACCCCTTGTTTTCAAATTATTCCTCCTTCAATAACTGTCTTTCCATCATTTGGCTATACTGTCCTAGAAGTCGTCACATGTTTTACTAAATTAGAAAAGAATTAAAAATAAATAGTGTTTCAGGTACTGAGCACTCAACACCTCTGAAGGACTAAGCAGTACCATATCAACATCTCCAATTTAGGCTTGTTTTATAACCACTTAGGCAATTGGCACATTCTGCTGTCTAGATGAAATAACACCAGATATAGTTAAAGACGTATAAGAAAGAGAAGGCAGGTTTAAAAATAATCTTTTTTTTTTTTCCTTCAAGGACTTGTTTTGAGGAAGTATTTCTTACTGAGAAACACCTGAATTGACTATATATGTAAGGGGCAAAAGATGTGTTTTAATGACTTACCTAACTAAACATGTACTTAAAAGTCTGACATTTGTAGTCAAAACCATTTTCTAAATTCTTTGAAACACATAGTGCTACACCAATCAATTCATTATTTGGATGTGTGAAAATACTTTAAACCATACATTTGATATTGTAAATAGAGCCAAAGAAAAGCAAAATTATGTGAAATTGTTTTCATATTGTACTGACTGGATGTGGAAATATTTATACCATTCCTCCCTCTAAAGTAAAATTGATGCCACCTTATGTGTTTTCCTCTTTATTAGCAGTAGTTAATTCCATGCCACTGTGAACCTATTTCCCGGAGTTACAAAGTATTTATTTCTGTGATGCAGACTATGAGATTCTGCATTCCCTACAGAGAAAGAAGTGAAATGGTTAAAGAAAAACTAACAAGCAAAAAAAAACCCACCACAAAACCACTGAAGACCTGACTTAGCAGAAAACTTGTGTGAAACATTAAAATATAAATGACCTTGATATCTGGCCTTGAAATAATTGATTACATTATTTTAAATCTTTGATAACCTTTTACAGAAGTGCTTTGTGTGCTTGCACGTGTATGAAGATGCAAAAGTTTTGGGTTTTCCAATACAATTCTAAATATTTGTATACAGTTGGCAGTCAGGCTTGATCCAAATCCAGCCATTCCATAAATGTACATTCACTTCACCCATGATTTGCACCTGCTTGTATTAAAATTGTTATCAACCACAGAATTCATCTGACCTCGCATGTTTGAAAAATTAGTCCGTTTTACACATTTTAAAGGATTCTTCATTATGTTCAAAGTACCATAAAACAACTTCTTTCCTTGAAGAAAGCTTTCCAAAAAAGCAACATTGTTTTCCTTAAACTTTATTTGTACATTGATTTATTTAGCACAAAAAGAATGTGCTTAT